CTCTCTCTCTCTCTCTCTCTCTCTCTCTCTCTCTCTCTCTCTCTCTCTCTCTCTCTCTCTCTCTCTCTCTCTCTCTCTCTCTCTCTCTCTCTCTCTCTCTCTCTCTCTCTCTCTCAACGAACAGAAGACGATAACATAGCTTCTCTCTGCCTCTCTTTCTCCGACATCAGTAAAAAATCAAGGTAAAAGTCGAAACTATCAATGCTTGAGTCTTGTTCGAATCTCAATCTATGTTCTTTATTATTAAACAATGGCATGATCCAAGCTAATGTCAATGCTTTCATATGGTGATAGCATAGTTTTGAATAATGCTTTGATATGGTGATCACTGTAGTTATGAAGAACATTTTTATATGTTGATAGTTCTTATCTAGTACAGTAACATTAGGGATCAACTCAGTTGTGTTTGGTAGATGATGATGATGATGACATGGATCTGTTTGGTGACGAGACATGGGAGGAAAAGAAAGCTGCAGAGGAGAGGGAGGCTGCTAAGAAGGACACCAAGTAGCCCAAAGAGAGTAAGCACTCTCTTTTGTTTTTTGATGTAAAACACATGTGATAACTGATTAACTGCATCTTATTCTCTTATTGAAATTTGAACTTTTTGCTAGGTGGAAAGTCATTTGTGCTCATGGAAGTTAAGCCATGGAATGATGAGACTGACATGAAGAAATTTGAGGCGTGTGTCCGTGCTGTTGAGATGCAAGGTCTCTTATGGGGAGCTTGTATCTCCGCTATCAAAATGAGCTTAAGTTTTGAATTATATGTGTCGGACAACTTCCTAATCTAGTGTTTTCTACTGTTTAAACTGTTGCAGCAAAACTGGTACCAGTTGGTTATGGGATCAAGAATCTCACGATCATGCTCACAATTGTTGATGACCTCATGTCCCCAGACAATCTCATTGAAGACTACCTCACCTGTGACCCTAACAACGAGTACATCCAGAGTGTTTACATCGTCGCATTCAACAAGATCTAGAAACTCTAAATCTCTCCCTTCCAAAAATATATTTCCTTCCAAGTTATGTGTTTGTATTGTTAGATTCTTCTTTTCTAGTTGTAACTTGCAAGACCCTTTTCATGTTGCAAGAAACATCAAGTTATCAATGCTTACTTTTCCTTTGCCAAAACTATTACTTCCAATGCCAAAATAGTTTTTTTTTTATGACCAATCCATTACAATGCAAGAAACATGAATAAAGATCACTGGTGGACAAATTGATGTATTAATCAAGTTAGAAGGTAAATAACTCAACTCCAAATCGACCAATTTGGTTTCTTCCATATTAAAATCCTCCAACACCATTCTCTTTAAATCCTCCAATGTAGAACTTGATTCCAATAACTGTAACCTACCCCTTTTTCATCAGCCGAAAACACCCATCCCATCTTGTCCAGTTCAGTCGATCTTCACCGATCGATCAATCATAGATCGATCGATCTCTATTTTAGATCGATCAATCCCAAACATTAGTCTATGGACATCCATATAAACCCACCCAAATTGAGTATTGATCTTCGTAAGTTAGAGTACATCTTTTGAATGACGGGATCGATCGATCCCAGAAAGAGTCGGTCGATCTCAATGGTCGATCTCGATGATTAAACAAAAACATAAAAAAGCACGGAGCAGAAACTGATCAACCTTGTCCAGTTCAGTCGATCTTCACCGATCGATCTATCATAGATCGGTCGATCTCTATTTTAGATCGATCGATCCCGATCCCAGATTATTAAAAAAATATTTTTTGAATATTTTCCTAAATATTTTCCCAAAATTTTGGATTATTGTTTAATTTTATCCGTAAAGCTACCTTCTACAGAAAGTAGAATTACTAATGTCCCACTGTAAGCAAATTCTACTAATAGTAGAGGTTTGAGTTATTTGTAGATTACGTATTCTGAGATATGTAGACGTGACTTAAAATGTAGAACCCGCATTCAGTTATTCCGTAGAATTCTATATAAACGAAGAATATAGATTCTAAAATATGTAGAGCCCTATACAAACGTAGAATCTAACTTCCTAAAATTGTAGAGTTTACTGTTTAACGAGGAATATGAGTTCTACTATGCAATTTTTCGTAGAATATGAGTTCTACTCTCCGTAGAACGTAATTAAATTTTTTAATTTAACAAGTTTTTGAAAATATTAAAAATATCACTTTGTGTATATAGGTATTTCATCACTTCTCTGTATTTTTATATATTTTTCGAGTCATAGAATTATTTATTTTCTTAATTTTTGTAAATAGAAAAGGTAAAAGGGAGAAAAAAAATAGACAAAAAGTGATTTATACTAATGAGACATGAAGACTGTTTTTTTGTTCTATATTAGCATAATTCCCTATTTTTTTCGCATGCATATTTTAGTTTCAATACTATACCTTAAATCAACTGCCACCGTTCATAGCTTACACTCTCAAAGGTTTTAACTTTAAACAATTGAGCAAACATGAAAAGTAATCTTGGATATGAAATCAAAATGTTCAAATCGATTGGTAAGATATAACCATAGCTGTGCGAGCATTTTTGTTGTCATAAACAAATCACAAAAATTTCAATAAATATATATATATATATATATAATTTAATATAAAAACATATAAATAATAAAACTAATAAACAAAATAGTAATTATACAACAAAAAATTATATATATTCAAAATATTAATCAAGTACCCATCATTAAATTACATCAGCAGAAGACATAGATGATACATACTGTAATTTTTTAAAGAGATTGTGGAAATGTGTAAATACGTTTCTTATCATTTAAGTTAATTATTGCAATTATCTAGATAAACAGTTACAACTAATCAAATGAACATTGCAACTTTTGTGATAAACTATTGTAATCTTTGATGATGAACCATTGCAATATATGGTGATGATACATTGTATTTTTTTTGGTAATTGTACAATTTAGTGATAGACCATTATACAACCATTAGTTATCCCTTACAATATTTGGGTTAACTATGGCAGTGCTTAGTTTCTTATAGGATTTATAGGCAATGATAAATCACAACCTAAAAACAAAATTCAAAAAATTACAATAATCACAAATAGACTCAAAAGAGAGAGAAATGTATTATTCAAAGATCATCAAAGATATCTAGGGATATACATATAAATATACGAAAATTGCATAGTGTTCAATATGAGGTTAAAATTTGTAAAAAGCGTGTTTTCATTTTTAAAATTACATAATATAAAATGTAATATATTAATTTTTGTATATGATATCGCAGGAGTTCCTTACCTAGTTTATTTTAAAAATATACTATTTTTAATTCATTTTCTCTCCATTGAAAACCGCACAAAGAAAAATTAAGATGCAAACATAATTGATTTCATTGTATTGAAATTATGATTTTTTCCACAATCTCTTTCTTTCTTTATGATTTATGATATGTTTTGTATTGTCCAAATTTTCTGAATCACCAGTATATGATTTATATATATATATACTGCTGTTGATCCCGTGCTACGCATGGTAATTATGTTTGTTTACAAATAAAGGCCGGGCCTGATCAGCAGTCTTGATAGATTTCTTGGCCGACTTCACGGTCTTATCTTTTTACAAGACTTTCATTTTTTGTCTTCAACTTCAATTGTTCATGAACCGGAACAGGAGCTGGAGGAGGTATTGAAAACATATCGGCATCCGATTCTTAGCACCGAGATTATGCGCCTCACCAAAAGCGTCAGCGTATGAAGAAATAGTACATGGGTCAAGAAGTGTAGAGAGAGTTTGTTACGAGAAATAAAAAATGTATATTACTTAGTCATCTGTTTACAGTGTACAATACAGTATTTATACTGTGTAGTTAACCGGGGTTATACAAACTAAGCACCGGTTCAATAACCAACTTCATCACTCTAATAGGGTCTTTGTTTGGAGACCTGTCACGGGTTGCCTGATTATCAGGCTCCTCATCTTCAAAAGATTGTGTTTCAGGTTAAAATGTAAGGTGTTACCATTTAGAGGTTCCTCAGTGGACCTATAAAGAGTTTCTCCGGAGAATATGTGTACTATGATAGGAATGAGAGATTGCCAAGGTAGCTTGCCCGAGCTGGGATTGTATGCCCGGGTGTTGAAATGGGAGGATGGTGGAGGGTACAAAATCACTGCGCAAACGAAGTTACGGGAACGAGAAATATAGAGGAGATTGTTAGGAATCAGGTATGCTTGATCGAAAGTGGGGGAGAGTCAAGAACAAAGTTGAAAAGGACGACGCTGATCGAGGATACTCTTAGAGTAAAATGGTTGTTGTTCATAAAGAGATAATATGGCTTTCTCGGGCTGATGTCTACACGTCTCACTAACGAGCCATGGTGGGAGACTGCAACAATTATATGTACCGGAATGGAATGAGACATATGGAGGTACCAGTACGAGGCTGGAAGGATGGACCATGTAAAGTCAGGGAGGCTCAATCGAAAGTGGGGGAGATCTAGAGTTCAAGTTGAAAAGAGATCCAAGGACTGCGGAGCAAGTGGAATAGCTTAATATGGGCTAGGCGGGGCACAAGGTTGCCGCCGGGTTGTGCCAAGAGATACATTGGGATGGTGTGACCCAGAGATGTTGGAAGCCTGGACCGAAGTACATGTGGGCATATGGGGAGCAAAGTTAATCAGAGTAGCGCAGCGGAAGCATGGTGGCAACCCAGCAGCACACTACAACATATGTTTTGATTTCTCGATGACACCACATGTGGATTGAGTAAAAGATCATAGGAATTCTCTAGAGGATAATCTGAAGCCAGTAACGAGAGTACGTCTTACCATAACTATAAACAAAGTATGGGTGAAGTTAGTGAACCGCAAGAAATGTAGACCCTAGAAGGAGTGGATGGGATATAAAAGGATGAGGGACCCCGTATGGTTAGTGAGCCAGGATGTTACAGAAACCGTTAGTGAGCAAGTGACGTGTGATGCCCACGTTGGCTGGGGACATTGGTGTTTGACTTCTGACACGCAGAATTCGGGGACGAATTCTATTAAGTGGGGGAGATTGTAACAACCCATGATGTGGCCCAATTTTTTTTTGTTAAGGCACATGGGCCTGCCTACGGCCCATTAGGGCAAAAACCTAGGTTTGCCTCCCTTCATCCTATAAAAGGAGTTGCAGCCTCCTCCTTTTGCCTCATTCACAAAACGCGAAGCGAAGCGCTGCAGAAAAATCCCGGGAGACACGAAAACCCTAGCCGTCAGCTCTTTCTCCCTCTTTCTCGCGCACCTCTCCCTTCTCTCTCTCCACGCGGCTTCTTCTTCCTCTCTCTCTCCTTGTCGTTCACGTGGTGATGGTGGTCGCTGGAGATCTTTATTGGTGGTGGTTTAGCCGTGTAGTGGTGGTAACCAGATCTCATCTCCCATCTCTCTTGTTCTCAGATCCAGATCTCGTTTTCCAGATCCAGATCTTCAGATCTCAGATCTCTTGCTAAGGTGAGGTGATTCGATATCCAGATCTGTTTCTCATAATCTCTGCTCTGGTTGATGC